CTAGCTATATCTCAAAATTTTACTAGGGTAACCCTGTTGTGCGACTAATAAAAAATGATCGTTACACAATTTTATCTAACCCTAACCTAAACCCTAACCCTAACCCTAACTCTAACTAATCATAACTTTACTTAAAATTTGCTATATCTCAAAATTTTACTAGGGTAACCCCCTGTTATGTAACTAAGTAAAAATGTTCCTCTCGCAATTTTACCTAACCCTAACCTAAACCCTAACCCTAACCCTAACCCTAACCCTAACTAATATTAACTTAAGAATTTGCTAGGGGTGCACCAAAATATAAATTTCTTTATTTTTTATTATTTTTAATTTATTTTTTTATTTTTTATTTTTTATTTTTTTATTTTTTATTTTTTATTTTTTATTATTCTTATTATTGTTGTTTGGTCAAGTCACAAAAAGCAATTTCTTTTATACTTTATTATAGCCTAGTTCTATTTTGCAAAACTATTTACAAAAATTATAAAATATTAGAAGTAACTTCAAAGTATACTTTTTTTTTAATAAACTGTTTCGTGTTTTACAAAATAAAGAGGTAATAATTTTCAGATGAGCTAAATAAAATTGATAGTTTAACTAAAAAGAATAAGAAGCTAATGGTTTTTCATTTAAGCAGAATAAGATATTAATATTTTCTTGCAAGAAATTAAAAATGATCACCAAAATGCTTAATCCTAATGTTATACCACTTTGGATAAATTTATTACAAGATATTATGTATCAAAATTGCTTTCAATTTCACGATCTCATAGCTGACTTCCTTCTTGTATGATATTAACTATAATACAAATTTGTCATATTAAAATGATACTATAATTTGTATTCGAGTTAAATTTGTTAAATGATATAAGTTGAGTGGGTCTAATCAAGCCAAAAAATCATGCACTATTTTAAATGAAAAGAAGAAAAACCATTATCCTCAAACTATTTCCTCTTATAAAAAAGAAAAATTAATAAAAGAAATCATAGTTTGAGCAAGAATGTTGCAAAAAATCAATTAAATTAGTTTTTTTGTTATTTCAAAGTTATTTTGCAACTATTCATAAATGTATTATTTGCACGAACAATTAAATTCAATATATCAATTTAAATTATACTTATTTTCTTATTGTTTTAACTTAACATGACATTGTTAATCTTCATTAACTGTAATTTAAATCACTACCAAAATTTAGCACATGTTACCAGCAACAAAATTTGATAATTTTTTTTTTTATATTAGGTTTGGGTTAGGGTGAGTACCTATATGGGTTAGTGTTTGAGTAGTTATATAGTAAAATTGCTAAAGAAAACTTTTTGTTAATATGCAAAAGGTGGTTTTTGTCAAAATTAGTATTTGTTTTGATTGGATTCTGAGTGATTTCTGTAATTTTGCTATGGCGTGGCTACCAACATAGCACACAATGCATTTAACTCTTAAGGCTAGATAACTTGTGGCTGATAAGAGGAGTTGTATTTAATCTTTATTAGCTCTTTGATTAGTTGTGTTAAATCAGTGAACTTAATAAGGATTATAATCATCGCCAAACTGTAATTATTGCGACATTTAATACGGGATTGTAATTGATCTGTATATTAATAATCAATGCGTAAAAACTAAAACATAGATAAAAAAACGACTAGCTATTCTTATTCACATTCTTAGTTGTTATTTATAATTTTCAAAAATTAACTTTTGTTTATTATATACACTTTGTAGGTATTAGATTAACTGAGATATCATCAAAATAGTAAATAGAAACTATAATATTCTAATACAAACTAACTCAACCATATATTGTGATTATTAGAATAGTGAAAAAGATTTTTGAGAGTTTTTTTATAAAAGAAACCACAATAATTCTAAAGCAAACTAACTCAACCTTAACTACATATTGTGATTATTAGAATAGCAAGCAAGAGTTTTTTTTACAGTAATCCATAATATAGGTTTATAACAGAATTTTTTTTATAGTATTCACAATAAAAATTATAATTATCAGAATAGTAAGCTCTGAACAAAATGTTTAAGCAATAGAAATTGCAGTAATTCTGATGTTACCTAACTCAACCTCATAGAAAAATACAAGACAATTCTGATGCAATTTAACTTAATATTAACCACACCGTGTTCACCAGAATAACTAGTAAGTGTTGCAGAATTTTTTATATAACTCATAGAGAAATCATGAAAATTCTAATGCAAACTTACATAATCTTAGCAACTTATTGCAATTATCAGAATAGCAAAAGATTGTTTTATCTTGAGATAAAATCCTGGTAATATCAATACAAATAAACTCAATTTTAGCTATTGTATACTGCATTATTGCTTTTTTTCAATTTAGTAAGATTTGAACAATATATAATTTTTTTTTTACAAGCTCTGTGAATTCTACAATTATAATACAGGCAGTTATCTAAATTTATTATATTTCAAGAACTTATTTTATAAGTACTTTTTTTGAGCATTTTTAATATATTTATTAGATGAATTTCACAAATATAACAAATTTAAGTAATTATATTTATTATAATTGTTAGACTTATTAATCTCACAAAAATATCACAAACTAATTAAATCAAGCTAAATTGAAAAGTGTAATAATAAGTTCTATAACAAAATATTTTATATAAGATTATGATTGAAATTATGGTAATTTATTGCAAACTAGCTCAACCTTAACAACATACTATATAATTAGTAAGTTTTGTAATTACAGTAACTCATGATAGAATTTGTGATAATCCTGATAAAAACTAACTCAATCTTAACTACATACTATGTATTGCAAGAATATCAACCAAATTTGTAAAAGAACTTTTACAATGACTAATAGTAGAAATCACAATAATTCAAATATATACAAAATCAACTGCAAATGATCAATAGAAAAAAAAGCAGAAACACTAATAGTGCCTTATCTAATCCTGTAAGTATATAAAAATTGTTATTCACATTTTTTTGAAAACAGCTATAATATTTGAATTCATAACTATAGAAGAAAATTATTTAGTTTATTGAATTAATAAATTACAAACTTTAGAATTTATTCTTTGTTTGTTTATTAATTGAGATAATTAAAATGAATTTTTTTTAGTATAGTTGGGCAATATAGAAAAATTATATAAAAAAACTCTAATCCTAATTCTGATCTAACTTTAATATAAACTATAAATTTTACCCTAACTCTAACTATTCTCAAATTTGCTTAAATTAAATTAAATAGTTATTTATTTATATTATAATCTTATAATAATTCTATATTGCCCAGTTATACTAAAGATCAATTATTAAACTATTTATTCTCTTATTTGACTTCTTATTTTGTCTAGCTTTGTAATTATTATAATAGTAATCTGTTGGTTTAAGATAAGTTATTACACTTATTTTTTATTTACAAAAATTTAGTAAATAAAAATGAATATTTATTATTGCTCTTTGAATTGATAATCTTTTGAACTCATGAACTATGTTTGTGTATTCTGTGGAATTTATCAATAAAATATTTATTAATCTAAATATTTAAAATAGGTTATTTAATTTTATAATTTTTTTACTATTATTTTTATTAATTCATTAGTAAGTATAAAAATTATTTAATATTTAAATCTAATTGTTTTGTAAATAAAGTAAAAATAACTAATATAAAAATCTAATTTAATGAATAAAAAACTCTAATTCAAATAATTTGCATAATATGACAAAGATATTAAAATAAATATAATAGTCTAAATTCAATATTTCAAGGATGGATAGTAAGATGTGTAATATTAATAAGAATTAAATGAAATAATTTCGATTTGAATAAATATGTGACTTAATCAATTATTTGATAGACTTAAAAATCAATAAAGTAGCGCTAGTGGGCTCTATTTTTTACTTGTAACTTATATATAAAATTTAACTGTAAATTTTATTTATTTTGATTTGTAAGGTTATATATATAATAATAATTCACTTTTACTAAAACACATCTATAGTATTTTTACACCATAGATCCCATTTCTCAAAACCATACTAAGTAAACAGGATCGGGTTCTCTAAGTAAAAATGTTCAGAACTCCCAAAGACCTTACAAAAACTGAAATCAAGCCCTATCAGGCCCTTATATTAGCTCTATAATATATTATATAAAAAAAACTCTTAATTTCCTAACCCTAACTCTAAATTTTATTAAAAGAAATTATACATAGGCGCTAAAACACCATAGGTGCGCTCTATAATAATTGATAATAATTAATACTTTTTACGATTATGAATTTTTTTTTAAAAACAAAAAAAGACTGCTTATATAATCTCTGAATATTATCTATTTTATTTTCTAATTTCAAAATTTCAAAATAGAAATAGAATATTTTAAAACCTTATTTGTTTTTGAAATAAGTTAACTTTGATTTACCCTATTAGAAAATTTTCTAATTCTTGTATGAACTCACCTAAGAAGAAAATATAAAGCAGAAGTAGAAAAAGAGCAAAGAATCAAGAAGTTAAATAAAAAGTTAGTGATTTACTAATTTTTATTTAAAAATAGGATGATATAGTTTGTTCTCACTACAATTATAAGTATTAAAAATTCTGAGAAAAATATTCTTAGAACTTAAGAAAATTATTATTTTTTGATCTCAATCAGTGGCGAGATAGAAAATCAGGATTGAAGAACACAATTAAAATTAAACAGAAACTTGAATAGGCCATATGTAAAGAAATAAGTAAATCAGATACTTATAAAAATCTTATCAATAATGGGAATATTAAACCCTTCATTTATCTTTTGAAGGCATTATGTCTCTAATATCTTTAGCTCTGGCAAATGAAGAAGTTCTCCAATATATCATACATCTTAACAGGTAGATTATTAAAATCAAAGCCTGAAGAAACAAAAAAAATTTTTTTGATACATATGAGCATGATAAATTAGATAAAAAGCTGAAGAAAATACATAAAGAAGCTCTGTTGGGAATACTGTATATTTATTTTTCCATTGACAACAAATAATATGTCAAAACCTATTAATGTGGTTTTGAAAAATAGTATAAAACAATTGAAGTCTTATATCAAGATATTGAAAAGACAATGTTTGTGGGTATACTGATTCGGGCATCTATGATGGTACCACAGAAAAAACAAACCAAGTATTATACATGGATTTGTTGTTTTGGTAGTTGGGTTTTGAACAATATTGTGGAGGCAAGTAGATGGGATATCCCAACATGAATATTATGGAGTTTAAAATAGTTCTTTCAATATTTTCTAATTTTTTAAATTTATATAAATATATAATATATATTTCTGAAAATACATATGTATTAAAGCATTAATTCAATATCAATAAAACATACTTTACTTTTTTCTTTCTTGTAAGTTATAAATTGATTAAGGTTGGTTACGACACTTATGTGCGAGGAAGGGGCACACAAGCTCACTAACTCGATAATAATTCCTCTTATATTATATGACCCAAATCGCCAACGTCATGCCTCTGACGAGTTGCCTTATATCATAAAATCTATATTTTTGAGTATAGATTATCGATCGTACGATTCACCTCGTACACTATTAAAATTGGTTTACTATTAATCCAGATTAATTCGAATTTAAAGTTGAATTAAACACCGGTTCCGACCTCTAAGTTATTTCACGTTTTATTATTTAACATCACGGATATAAGAGTGCTCTTTAGATTGACAGATAATTAATATAATTAATGTTGTCGCGGATTTCATGATATCAGTTCTTTTCATAGCAGAATCTCTATAAAAGAATTTTTTTCCTTTAATTGGATGCCCTTGGGCACTTGGAATTTTTACAAATTAAGAATGAACAACAATTACATTTAATTATTGATTATTATAACCGTCTTTTGGTGGGAAATTTGATGATCTAGGAGATCTAGGAGGTAACTGAATAAATTTATATGTAGTGTTAAATATCTAAATTATTCATATTTCGTAAAATGCTTGAGCATCATTATTGGCCACCAGGTTGAAAGTGAAAAGGGTTTATATCATTTCCTTTTACACAAAGGTTGTTTATTTCAATTTTTTTTTTGCATCATTGTTCAATAGTAAGTGAAGAATACCTATTTTTCAGTTCAATTGATTTAGATCATAACTTCTATAGTGAACGAGAAGCTTTTTGATAAAGTATTTCAATAGAATTAACGTCTCATAATAATAGTCTGCGTGATGCGAAGCCAATGAATGATAAGTACAATTTACAGGATGAAAAAATGATATGCACTTCCATAATGACACTCTGTCCTTACATTTTCGTTTTAAGCGAAAGCCTCACAAGTCGAAATTTTTGGTATTTTTGACGTACTTGTAGGAAATAAATTTTAAGATAACTAAAATTGCCGGGTACCATATTATTCACATAATCGTAAAGATATTCATAGACTTTCATTGACCATTCATCACCAGTATTTTTGATATTCATCACTATTGTGCAAAATAACGTCATATTTATATACATACGGAGTAAAGTTATAGAAGCTTTAAAATTAAAAAACAATATAACTCTATCGTTAGGTATTTTGCATTGTATTTTTTGTGCTTATAGTTAATTAAAATTTTATACTGTCATACATTAAAAATATCAACGAAACGTTATTTAATCACTGTTCAATAAATGCAATTGAAATTATCTTAACTAGAAGATTTCTTTTAATTCTACATTTTGTAAACCAACTGCCTAAAATAAATATAAAATAGAAAAATACCTTGTTCCGTGGCAATTTTCAAATGGTCTAAAAATATTTAGTACTTTCAATTTGTAAAAAAAATATTAATGGGATGTTCACTAATTATATTCCACATTATCTTAAAATAACAAAAAAATGATTCTAAATTAAGTTTGTGTGGCCTTGCAACGCAATTTTCCCTTTCTATCTAATAAGAAATGTTTTAAAAGATCATATAAACCAATTCATCAAACATGTATTGTCATAATCTCAAAAATATTAAGACACAATTATTGTGATGGCTGATACTGATTTTGTTAATAAAACAGTAATGGTAGATTTTATTTCAAAATCAAGGCCTCCAAAATTATTATCAGTCGTGACAATTATAATATATCGATTTTCAATGTTAAGACAATATAAAATGTAAACCGATATAAAAAGAATGGCTTTACTAAAAAGCATCTATATGGTTTATCTCAAAAACTGGCTAGTTAATTGAAACCTGGTATTCTAAATACCCACTTTAACAACTTTAACGCCAAATTTTTATCCTAGTGTAAAAAAAACAAGATTATAAAAGACAAAGACAAATCATGTATGATAAGAACTAAACATCATAGATGCAAACACGCACGAATAAAATTAGAATTTGAACGCCAAGCAGTTTGCTAAATCGGATCGAAGTAATCTTGGTTATTCCGGATTCTCCTCACATAGATGTACAAATTAAAAATGATAGGAATTAACGTTAAGCAGCAATTAACTTTATAGCATCTAACACTAACCTCCTAACCCTAAATTTCTACCTGCATGCATAAAGTTTATATTAGTTTTCGTTTTTGGGTTGTAATAAGTCATTGCGTTTTCTGTGTGAAAACTTTATCTGAACGTCACTGAATGTATATCGTGTTATTCTCAAAACAGCTAATCTGGTTATTTACGTGCTTATGAGAAAATTGCAGAATTTGTGTTTAGACCGAGAGTCTAGAATTAGTCCTGAGTAGCCTTATAACGTATATTCCCTTTTGATCTTTAAATAGGTCAGTGTATTGTTGAACAACAATGAAAGCATCGATAAATGATTTTTTGAGTTTTTGAGGTTGCATGCCTAAAAGATATCTTATTAATAACCAATAGAGATTTAAAGTTCTATCATTCCAGATCGGTGCAACATAAAATTTGCAAAAAAGAAATAATAAATTTAAAGTACGTACATACGTGTACAAATCAATTAAAAATACAATAAGTGATACACGTATTTTATTTCTCTAGATGGTTACTGTCATGTAATTTATTTTGGTTTATTTCGGATGGTCACAAAGGTTGTGAGATTCTCTATAAATGGTCAATTTCTTAACTTGTTACAACGATGATACTGTATATAAAATTACAATAGTAAAGATTTTCAATACTTGAATTTAACTTATGTGCACTACGTACGTAATTATAGTACGGCCACTGTCGATGATGTGTATTAGTAATAGTTATACCCTGGGCACTATGTGTATAAGCGGGAATTTCATCCCCGCTTATACCCAACTGCCCAGGATATAAGTAATAGTTATTTCCTGGGCAGTTGGGTATAAGCGGGGCTGAAAGTCCCGCTTATCACATAGTGCCCAGGACATAACTGATTTATGCCCTGCGATCTTGATATAGTGACCAGGGTATAACTATTACTTATGTTCTGTCATCTATGCTTGTTGCTTTACACGATGCATATGTCATTAATACTTATACTACATTGCACTTAGAAGGGGTTACATGCATGCATATGATTGGGAATTCATTCTCATTTATGCGCATTATTCCGAATCATGTGTATTTTTATCCTATTAATAATTTCATATATAGCTAGCCAAAAATTAAATTTTTAATTCAAATGCTTGTTAGCCTTATTAAAAGCATGTTATAAAGAAGCCTGGATCTCTCCACCTCAGCGTTTTTTTATATTTTTTGCCATATGTATTCATGCACATTTTTCTATCTCAACTACACGACATGAATTAAAAAACAAATAGTATAATAGTATAGTATGATGAACAAACTCGGCTCCTCAGCATTTATACAAAATCCAAATTTGTTTTATGTTCTCAAATGAAAAATAAAAACAGTTTTTAAGGTCTTTACGTAAAAAATTAAAATCTATTTAATATTAAAAAAAAATTTTGAATGTTCTCAAGTAGAGAACATATTTTAATAAATTATATTCTCAAAAATTATGCAATGTTCTCTGAGAACACTGAGAAAATCGAATTTTAATGCTTGCAGTCACTTCAACGTCCAATCTCATTTGATAATCGGTAGCATCAATGACTAACTAATTCGGTCGATAAAATCAAAATTCCATTAAAGAAAAATAATAGCTATCCAAACTAGTGTTGATACTGTTTAATACGTATAAATAACTTTATGTAAGACTATGCAAATAATACAATATATATCAACATATAATTTTCCTAGAATCGATAGGGGCTACGTACGCACGCAAATACGTGTAAAATAAAATATCCAGAATTTCATATTGTCTTTTTTCTTTCTTTCTTTCTTTTTTAAATTTGAAATTATATTTTCCCACTCCGTCATCATTGATAAATGACATTAACGACATATTGATGTAAATCAATAAGATCCCAAACAAGCAACATCACACTGTACGACCGTGCAATCGGCCTACAATCAATCATTCCCATCAACTACAAGTATTGATATCAAGTAATTATCCAAAATCCTGGCTAGCATTATGCAGAATTATGCAGAATACGAAGATCATAGCCGGATAATGAAAAAATATTGGGACGGATTATTAGTTAATATTAATTTTTTAAAATTAATTTCATAAATTCACCGTGATGATACTATTAGTAAACAACCTTCGTCCTACTGTTATCCCTAATTTAGCTTATCGAGGCATGATGATTTATGCTCCCTAAGTGGGTAACCGAACTAGAACCTTTGAAATCGTTTAAAGTTCTCTGTGAAGGTTAAAATCACTTGTATAACGTAAAAAAAAAAAAAAAAAAAAAATGTATAAAAACTTTAACATTTCACCTCTCCCTAAGTACATTCTTTAATTTTTAAAGAAATTAGTAATGAACCAATCCACTATTCAAGTTATTGGCACACAACCACAAAATAATAGTGGTCAGCTACAAAGATCCCAGAATGTTCGTGGGTCAAACGCTAATAATCAACCTCAAGGAACTCTAAATATGCCGCCTCCGAGACCTCAAAACGCTACAAATTCATCCACCAGTACTGCTGTTGCCGTTCAGTATGACCTGATTGGCGGCACATACACATTCTCAAGAATACAAGGAACAGGAAATCTGCCACCACAAAACAATCCATCTTCAACGTCGCTATTTTCAGGGTTTTCCTTCCCATAAGCACTCATATGCGTAAATTTTTTCTAAGCTATGATTTTAATTAAGTTTTATGCTAAAATTATTATGTAGAACTTTAAACTAGTGCCTTAAGTTATGAAAGTATAGTGTAGCTGTTAGGGCTGTTAATCGGTCCGTTCGATCCATCCTGGTTAAAAGACCGCCAGTCTTTTACTGCTATTATCATAATTTCTGGGACACCTGTAAAAATGATTTTTCGGCCGATCACGGTTAAGTTATATATTTTGTGAATAATAAGATTCAGTAACAGATATATTAAATAAGTAATTTAATACGATTAGGTGATCAATATATATTACAATAAGACTATAAATCGTAAAATTTCAATCCTATTCTTTGGCATGATCCATTTTTGTTTAAACGAGCCTTTATTCATTTCTAATTATTTTTTTGACGAATATTCTGGTTTAAAAAATTGATAAAATTTCAATTCCTATTCTTTGGCAAGATCTAATTAATTTTTGACGAAAATTTGGGTTTAAAAAATTGTGTAAAATTTCAATTCCTATTCTTTGGCAAGATCTGTTTTCGTTCAAATAAAGACTTTATTCATTTCTAATTATTTTTCTACGAAAATTAGTTTTAAAAAATTGTATAAACTTCAATTCCTATTCTTTGGCAAGATCCATTTTCATTCAAACGAAGGAATTGATTTATTTCTAATTATTTTTCGTTTCTTGTCGAAGATGAAAAATTTGTTTTTAAAAAATTAAACTAAATTTCGATTCCTATTACTTAGCAGAAACTTGAATTTTTGATTATTATATAATAGTTATATGATAAAAATATAATAAAAATATTTTAATATAAAATATAATAAATATATGCTAAACATTTTACAAATATACAGTAGTAGCTAGCTACAAAGACTTTAGAATATTGGTGGCCCACAAAATATTAATGGCCACCTTCAAAGGATCCTAAATACTAGCATGCTTCCTATGAGATGTCAGAACATTGCAAGTCTATTCACTAGTACTTTTATTGCTATTCAATAATACACTGATCTAATTAATGGCAAGAATCCATTTACTACAATACAAGGTAAAGAAAATTCATCACCACAGAGCTCCCAATTTTCATCTTTGTTTTTAGGAGTTTCTTTTCTATAATTTAATTATGCACAAATATATTTTTTTAAGTTTGCATCTATTATAATAAAATAGCCTTTTGTTTTTGGAATCTTCACATTAAATATAGCTATTTTAAGAGTATATAGTTAAAATAGCTACATTGCAAATATTAGATAGAATTTTTTATATAGTTTTATTTTATACAAAATTTTGAATTAAAGAAATAAGTTATAAAATATAATTTTATTACTTGAAATTTTTATTGCCTTTAATAGTGTTGGCAGGTGAAACTTAGAGGTTTTGCCATAAATGAACAGTGAAACCTAGTTTCAACTTTCATTAAAAAAAATTAAAATAGATAAATGGCAAAAGGTGGTGAAACTGGCAAAACTGTTAAAAGGTGAAAAATGATAGCAAAACTAGTGAAAGATAGTAAAATTAATAAAAAAAGTAAGAATAAAAAGGCAATTAAAGATAATTAAAGCTTTTTTATATAATCATATATATATATATAATAAGAACTTAATTTAGGCATCGCATAGTGCAAAATATCGCCCATTAATTTGATTGGCTAATTTTGACAATCATGTTACACAAACTTAATAAAAAATAAGACTTTCTATAAAAATTAGATATATATTATAAAATAATTTTTATGCATCTATATGCAAAATGTTTTGCTGAACATTTTTAATTAAAAGTGAAAAATTAAAATTTTGAGCAACAACACTTAAAATGCCAGTCTAAAAAATTTCGCAGATTACGTGAAATGATGATCACAGGAATTTCCAATATATACCTATATAGCACAGTTTAAACACAGTTTCGAGAAAGAACACTGTTTAAGCAAGAACAATGTTATCCTTTGCTTCGCAAAGGATAGTTTATGCTTTCGCTACAGCTAACGCCTCCGCTACAGCATTTTTTTTTACTAAAGCTAAATAAAAAATATAATTAGTTTACCCTAACCCTAACCCTAACCTAACGAGGACTCAACAGTAAAAATTAATTGTTTAATAATTAATCGTCAAATAATTAATCGTTAAAATAATTAATCGTTAAAATAATTAATCGTTAAATTTGTATCATATGATCACGTGATCTGCGAAATTTTTTAGATTGGTGTTACTAGTCTAATAATTTTGAGCGATCATCAAAAAATAATATGTAAAAAGTTTGTGTAATAATGACCGCCAATCAAATTGATGCGCGATAACTATAAAGTATTTCGATATGCGATGTACTGTATATATTTATCCAATAATTTAATTTACTAACATGGCTCAGTCTTTTCTAAAGTCTTAAAGGATTTAATCTTGCCGAGTTTTGACTTCCCCAGGTTTCAACTTTACCAGGGGTTTTGTCAGTATTTCGCCGTTTTGGCAGGTTTTGCCATGTTTCATCTTTCACCAGGTTTAGTTTCGTCTTTCGCCATTTACCCAAAATAGTTTCGCCTGCCAGCACTATCCCCAATGAGATTTTTAGATTTTCTGCACTGGTGCATGAAAATCCAAAAACCACAAAGTATAAATAAATAGCATATTGAAAGCAAATGTTTCCTGTATTATTTGCATAAGTGTGTACATAAATTATTTTATTAAAGTTTTTATAGAGATTACGAATTTTGGATTTCTTGCATTGGAAAAAAGTCATAACCGCCATCTTTATAGAACTATGTAACGTACAAATATTAAGTTAAATATCAACTTTAATAATATATTTATTAATATTAATATTTTAGGAATAATTGGTTTTTTTTTGTATATACCGTATTTACGCCCATCTAAAATTGTACTATCTGAAAACGGTGCATTTTTTTAGATGTTATTACGTAAAAATGTAGTACGTACATATATAATTTAACTAACAACATATGGGGACCCCCACAGCAAAAAGTAGCATTGGGCCAAAAAAAATTTTTTTAAAAAAAATGCAATTTCTCGAAGAATTAAAGTAATTGGCATATAATTTTTATAAAATTACAGAATCAAAA